GGTGCAGGGGTGGCAGAGCCCTCTGCTGGTCGCTGGGGTCCTTCGCCGTGCAGGGGTCAGCCTTTGACATGAGATGGTCAGAAGCTTGTTTGCACGATTTTAGAGATTTAGATGAAGAGGTTTTTCACTCCCCGGGAGTTGTGTTGACCCCTGGAAGGCGCTTCTCATTCTCCGCTTGCCTAAGCCTGACCAAGGATACCAGTAACTCCTAAGGGCTTTCTTCCGCCACCTCTACCAAAACTAGAACTCCTCCCAGGACTAATCTTGGTCTAGGAGAAGGAATTTTTCGTCATCCCAGGACTCATCCGGACCCAGGAGAAGGGGCTACTCCTCATCCCAGGACTAATCCCGACCCAGGAGAAGGGGCTACTCCTCATCCCAGGACTAATCCCGACTCAGGAGAAGGGGCTACTCCTCATCCCAGGACTCATCCGGACCCAGGAGAAGGGGCTACTCCTCATCCCAGGACTAATCCCGACCCAGGAGAAGGGGCTACTCCTCATCCCAGGACTAATCCCGACCCAGGAGAAGGGGCTACTCCTCATCCCAGGACTAATCCCGACTCAGGAGAAGGGGCTACTCCTCATCCCAGGACTCATCCGGACCCAGGAGAAGGGGCTACTCCTCATCCCAGGACTAATCCCGACTCAGGAGAAGGGGCTACTCCTCATCCCAGGACTCATCCGGACCCAGGAGAAGGGGCTACTCCTCATCCCAGGACTAATCCCGCCCCAGGAGAAGGGGACGCACTTCCCTCCTGCCTCCGATCATTGTGCAGACTCTGGCTCCAGGAGTTTGTAGCTCTACATTTAAGAGCATAGTGTCCGCCTCACAGCAGAGAAATAAAACTATTTATCCTGCAGTTCAGTTCTCTCAGCAATTGAGACCCTGTCTTCCTTTTCCTGGGACATTTTAATTCTTCCCCTTCACCCCGAACACAGGCTAAAGCCCAGGCTCTGCTTGTTAAGTTCTAGCCGAGCAGGCTGGCAGCCAGCAGGCCCCGCGGAGGAGGGAAGGTAGAAGTGCTCCCGGCTCTCGGGGAGGCGGCCAGAGAGAGCGGAGCTGAAATAAAGAGGAATTTGAAATCCACCCATGCCAGAGCATTAGCTTACAGGCAGAATATGTATTTTTTAGTTGAACAGAAATTAGCTGAAATACAGCAGAAGTATTAAACGGACCTGGGCAGTGATGGAAAGCATGAAACATGAGAACATGCACAGAGCAAGAAGACAGAACTAGGCCTGCCCAGGCGCCCCCGCTGTCCCCAACAGGAGCAGCCTCCAGGGCTCGCTCCATCCGGATGCGGAGGGGGTTGGACCTCTGTGTTCACACGGTGCGTGACATTGGCTGCTACAGCCCTCTGGCCCCGGTGCCCACAGAGACTCCCTTTGTCCCTCCTGCTAAAGCTGCAGAGAGGGGACCGGGTGCAGTGAGAGCCCGCCCGGGCCTTGGCTGGTCTGCAGGTCAGATAACGCCTGTTGGGAGGGGGCATCTCACAGGCGAGGGGAGGGTAAGGGGGAGTTTGGCCTGGAAAAGGGCTGTGGCGCAGGCAGCCTCCCAGCCAGGAGACGTGGCCCCAGGCGCAAATGGCTCAGTAACTGGTGCCCTGTGTCCTGGCCTAGCCCCTCCCATGGGTCCTGCCCAGCCAGGCTGATCTGGATTCAGTGGCCCAAGGGGAGAGAAAGGGAAGGTGAGGATCGCAGAGCTGCCCACCCGCCAGGAGAGGAGCGGGGGATGGAAAAGGTAAGCGGTGCTCAGGACCCGGCTTCCGATGGCCTCCCCTTTGGCCAATGGTCTGAACTGGACATTAAAACGTATATTCGGCTGAGATTTCACAACACTCTGTGCCCCCACTCACGGCGAGGAACAGTGGCAAACTCCGTGCCAAGGAAAACTCGCCCTTGCATTTTGTACTGATGATGTGGCGCTCACTGTATGTTCACTGAGCCAGGCTTAGCGATTACCCAGCAGCTAAATGGTCAAGAATTTCCATAAAATACAACACAAATGCCGGGTACTTGTGTTTTGAAGTCCACCCTTCCAAACCGTCCGGTGTCCGCCCTCGGCAGGGCGTTCCCTGCTGACCCTGATTTGAAGGGTGGAAAGGACCCGCCACTATATTTTGTTTCTGTTGGCAACACAGTATCAGCCTGCATTTTTCCATATTGAAAACAGCACTTGATTTCCAAACAAATGAGCAGGTGGATGATGGCTTTGCCCCCCACCACCTAATGCTGGTGCCACCACAGCCCAGGTGGAGGCAAAGCAGAGATCTGTTACCTCTATAGACGTAGACCCTGCCCCTTCACACCCAAGCTCCAGCCCCTCCCACATGAGGAGCATTTCCCAGCATCCTCCACACCCCTGGTGGCTTTTCTGGATAACTGACAGGGTCCCTGCCCTCTGGAGGCCTCAGGTCAGGGCTACTCATAGAAATGCATTTACAGGGTTCAAATAAACTCCAGAAAGTCCTCTCAGATAAACATGCTTTGAAGGCCTTGGGCCATGCAGGTTCCGAGGCCCCATGTCTGGGGAATGCACCAGCCATTTGTGGTCACAGGGTCCCCAGGAGCAGTTGATCAGGAGGGGCTGCTCCCTGCACAGCTTAGGTCCAGGGAGCAGATGAGGGGGAGACCGGCAGCCCCCAGACCCAGGAGACCACAGGCACATGCAGGCCAGTGGCTGTTAAAGCCGGGGTTTCTGACTGGCACAGCTGTTTCCTGGAGGGCGTGGGTGTGACTTTAGGGGGGCAGGTGTGAGCTCAACACCCAGACATGGGGCTCGGCTATGTTCAGGGGTGCTCATTCGAGATGCAGCAGGAATGATAAAGTCTGGAGTTTGCCTAAAGGTGGGCAGCCTTCTGGGAAAGGAGACGCAGCTTCCCCAGATTTCAAAGGACCAGGAGACGGAGCAGCTGGGCTTCCCCTCACACGGGGGCCTGCATCCTTCCCACGGCCCTGCGGCCTGACGGCCCCCTGGCTCTGGCTGGGAAAGGGGTAGGGCTGCCCTGGCCACCCGACCGGTCATGGTGCCAGCCAGGGAGGAGCTTGCAAGGGCACTGGCCACAAGTGGGGAACACATCTACAAGGACAAGTTTCAGTTGGATGACAGACACCTCTGCTCACAGGGAGGCCACTTGCTCTGGCTCTGTCCTGGGCAGGAACAAGGAGGCTTGCTGGTCCTGGGATGCTGATTTTGGCCAGGCTTGAAGGGAGCCCATCAAACACACTCACGCACACACATGCAGGCCTTATTTGGATGCCCAAGGTCTTTACTGGCAACTTTATTTTTACTTCTTTTTAAAAATACATTTTTTATTGATTTCAGAGAGGAAGGGAGAGGGAGAGAGAGAGAGAGACATCAGTGATGAGAGAGAATCATTGACTGGCTGCCTCCTGCACGCCCCACACTGGTCATCAAACCCACAAGCCCGGCATGTGCCCTGAGCAAGAATTGAACTGTGACCTCCTGGTTCATAGGTCGATGCTCAGCCACTCAGCCACGCCGGCCTGGCTACTTTTACTTCTTTTTTTTTTTTCCTATTATACAACCAGGAACATTGTTCAGCCATATTCTCCAAAAGAGTACAGCTGTCCTGTGGGAGATGCCCCGTCCCCAGTCCGCCTCGCACCCTGGCCTCGGCCGTGGGGAGGCCTGGAGTCCCCCACTCCAGATAGTCCTGTCTTCAGGCCTTTGGGCGTTTGAGGATTGGAGTACAGATCAGCCCAGATGGCAGGGACTGGCCAGAGCTGAGCTATCAGAGAAGGACTTCCCAGGCTCACTGGTAGGGATGGAGTTGACTGGTTCCTTTCCCAGAGGAAGGCTGCTCTGGGCGATACATGGGGCGCCTGGGCCTCTGTCCTGCTCAGCCTCTGAGCACAGCCCATGACGCAGTCTGTCTTGGAGGGGACCTGGCTGGTGGAGAGGTTGAAGTGCATGGCGATGGCGTAGGAGGTGTCCATGAAGATGTCAGGCATGCTCACCAGGTCCTCGATGGCCTGCAGCTTCAGGCCCAGCAGGTGCCGGTCCAAGGCCTCCCCACGGATGGCCTGGTTGGTGTAGGCGCGGTGGGCGTCCATGGCCTTCCGCAGCAGCTCCACCTTCTGATGCTCCGTCACATTGGAGTCATCCATGGCTTTGACAAAGGTCAGTGATTCCGTGGATGCTGAGTGGATGGTGTCAGTACGGCCCAGGTGAAACATGAGCAGGGAGGCGCTTTCGTACGTGGCACATGCCTGCCCGTAGACCCTGTAGTAGGCCAGCTGCAGTGCCATCTGGATGAAGGTGTCAGGGCTCAGCTTCTCTGACTTGGGGAAGTCCTTCCCAAAGTGGTGGAACACGGTCACAATCATGTCCAGGTCCTGGATCATGATGCTAAGATTCTGCTTGGCCTTCTCAATGTCGTTATTGATTTCGGGGGTGATGTTGAACCGAAGCTTCTTGGGCATGGGCAGGGGTACCATGGGAGACCGCACGACCTCAGCCTTCTTCGTGTACTCGATGACGTGGTCCACGAGGGAGATGATGGGCGGCCCCTCTGCTGCTGCGTGCTCGTAAATGAGCCCACAGAAGCCATCTTCTGCCCCGATGAACTGCAGTGTCTTGTCGAACCAGCGGTTGCCGCTGTTGAGCTCGCTGCCGCCCCCGTGCAGCATCTGGCCGGCCACCTGGCTGCGGTACATGTCTTCTGAGACCCGAGGTATGACTGTGTCCAGGCACACGGTGAAGATGCTCTTCTGGATGGAGCGCACCGACTCTCGGTTCACCTTGTCTGTGATGAGGGTGTTGTAGGCCTTGGCCCAGGAGTTGCGGTGGTTGGAGGTGAGGATGCCCACGGGCTCTTTGTTGGTCTGCAGCGACGAGTTCCAGATCTTCTCCGGCTGCACGAAGAGCTGGTCCGAGGTGAGGGGTGTCCCGTCGCTGTGGTACACGTCCAGCTCAAAGAACTGGTAGTTGTGCACCACTGTGATGTGCATGGGCGGCTTCTTGGTCTTGCTGAAGTTGATGACCGAGTCCTGCTTGGGGCCTGGCACGCGGCAGGAGAACAGGATCTGATTGTACTGGTTCATGCACAGCGGCTTCCTGCCCAAGTACTCCACGGGAAGGGTCTCATTGTCAACCATGGCCTTGAAATCCAGCACACCCTCGATGAATTTGGCAGCAAACCGGAGTTGTCCCTGCAGATCCACAAAGTCCTGCCTGGGCAGCACTAGGCCGGGGCTGGAGTAGATGACCAGGGGCTGGCGGAACTGGAGGTAGGCCATCTTGAGCCACCACTGGGACAGCCAGTTCTCCATCTTCTTGGCCCTGCGCTCCAGCCCCTTCTGCAGGCGCTCTCCCACGGCCCCTGCAGCCTGAAACTCTTCCACCAGCTTCTTGGTGTGGGCCCATTCCTCCTCGCTCACCATGGGCTGCAGGGTCTTCAGGTAATGGTCCAGGGTCTGCTGCAGCGGGGACACGGGCAGCCGTGGCAGAGACTCCTGGTGTGCCTTGAAGCGGCTGGCGACCTTCCTCAGGGAGGAGGGCTTGAGGAAGCCCAGCGGCTTCACCATGGTCCTGATGGCGAATGCCAACATCTCTGCAGCCTGCCCGCGGGCTCACAGTCCGCTGCCCGGCAAAGTCCCGCGCCGCCGCAGTGGCTGGGTCCCGCTAGGGCCTCTGGGCCAAGGTCGCCCAGTCACTGCCGCCAGTGGTCCCCGCGGCCCCGCGCCCACCCACCAGGCCAGGCTGGCTGCCTACTTTTACTTCTTAAAGTGCCCCTCAAAGACTCCCTGCTCCTTTCTTTTGTATGAAATAGAATCTTACAGAGAAGCCCCAGCCTGGGGGTAGGGCAGGTTAGAGCTAAACCCACATTCTGACTGAATGACGTTGTGACCTTGGACAAGGCATTCTTCTCCCAGGATGGGGAGAGGGTACCCATTGGAGACCTAAGATGCTGGAATGAGAAGTACATGAGGCATTATGCACCAAACTGGCATTTCCTTAGTCCAGCACGCCCCTAACTTCTGTTCGACAGCATCTCTCTCTCTCTCTCTCTCTCTCTCTCTCTCTCTCTCTCTCTCCCTCTCTCTCCCTCTCCCTCTCTCCCCCTCTCTCTCTCTCTCCCTCTCTCCCCCCCCCCCTCTCTCTCTCTCTCTCTCTCCCTCTCCCTCTCTCTCCCTCTCTCTCTCTCCCCCCTCTCCCTCTCCCTCTCCCTCTCCCTCTCTCTCCCTCTCTCTCTCTCCCCCCTCTCTCTCTCCCTCTTCCTCTCTCTCCCTCTCCCTCTCCCTCTCCCTCTCCCTCTCCCTCTCCCTCTCCCTCTCCCTCTCTCTCTCTCCCTCTCTCTCTCTCCCTCTCTCTCTCTCCCTACTCCTGTTAATATCTCCATAAATAGGAAAATTCCAGCAGTCCTGACTTACTCACTGTTTCCCGCCTCCCCTCTCTGTATGAATGAGATGCAGGCCCTTAAGCTGGGGCAGTGCGGTTCAATTGGCCGCCAGCTCGCGGCCTCTGTGGGATATCAGGGTGCTGCATTACTCTCCCGGGTCCCCTCCCGGAGGCCTGACAAGGGGACTGTGATGCTGGCAATCTGTGCCGAGTGACTGTGCTTCACTGCTACCTGCCTGCGTGTGTCATTTCATAGGACACGTGCTTGGGTGCTGGCGATGGAGACTTCCCTTCCCGGAGCAGTGGGAGGTGAGGATCTGATTCAGTGCCCTCTTCTAAGGTCTTAGTGACCTGCCACCAGATTCCATCAGGGTCACAAATAGTGAGGTCACCTTTGTCTCCACTGACTGATGGGGGAGGGGAGAAGGGGTATCAGTGGCTGCCCCCCAGTGTTCCTGGGAGAATGTGCCAGGGCTGCAGGCAGCTGACCCCCGCAGGAGGGGCAACCACCCCATTTGCAGAGGAGCAAACAGAGGCCCGGAGAGGAGCGCGTGCTCAGCTGGTCCGTGCTGTGCAGTATTCAGTGAGTTATGCAGAACGGCGTCCGGTCACTCTTCCTCGAGAAGCCGCAGGCTCAGCACTGGCCTCAAGCTGTGCTCTGCCTCACGCTGCCTGTGGACTGACAGACACCCAGGTGGCTTTGTCAGATTGACAGCTGGTGCCATGCAGGTCCTGAGGACCATGGATCCTGAGGACGAACTTCTGCCTCTTGACTTGATGTCCCCGGAGGTACCTGAGTGACTGATCGATCTCCCCATGGGCTCCAGGAGGCCCAGCTAGAGATCGAGGCCACAGGGCTCAGCAGAGGCACTGGACCAAGCGTGTGCCCCTCACAGAAGCCATGGAGACAATGCCCTGCATAGGGGAGCAGCGGAACTAAGTCTAACATGACGGTGTCGTTAAAGTTGGCACACACCCAAATTGTATGTTAAGTCTTTATCAGGGACAGACCGGGCTAAGGTCTCTTTGGTTCATAATATACCAGGAAAAATAGTGCCATAGCTTATTCTCATTCTGTAGCGTACACTTTGC